TGACAATCGACATATTCGGGATCAATTTGGTCAGTTGGTGCGCTTGTTTCGTCCATGCTGTTGTTGTAGTTGCTTTCGCTTTTGTTTTCGGGCGCTGTTGTGCCACCATAGAGCAAAGCAGTTTCGCTTACACGTGTAGCGACATGTGTACGCGTGTTCTTTGCTGTTGTTGTTGTTGCTGTTGTTATAATGTTCTGCGCTATGTTGTATATCATGTTGCTTGTTGTTGGCCGTAAATTTGCGCCGCGACAGCAACAACAACGGCAAATAGTGACAGCATTAGCCCATAAAGTAATAAAGCGAGTTAAGTGTGTATGCAGCGTGGCACACACACACACACACGCACACTCACACATATGTGCTTTAAGCTGGTTTTGTATTTGTGGCAAGAGAGCGTGCGCATGTGTGTGCGTGCTTCTCTGTCACAGTGTGCTCGGTCGTAGTGCCACACTAACAATAATAACCTCGACAATAACATGACACTGACAGTTTATTTATCGCCGGACGAAAGCGAAAAATGTTGAAATTGTTTTAATTTTGGCCAATAATGTCGATATCAGTGTCAGTGTGGTGAAACATAGAGTCGAAATGTGGGGCAATGAATTGGCCGCGTAGCAAAATGGCCAAAGATACAAAACGATACAAAAATGTGTAGCTAGTCATGCCAATGCCACGAACCGCAGCTGCCAGTAATCAGCAAAAATTTTCCACTCAGTGGGGGGGTGGTTAGTGCTCAGTGCTCGCCTGGGAAATAGCAATATGACACAGACATTAATACAAATAAACAACAAAAACAGCACTCAAGGGCAGTTACTTCATTGTGCTTAAGCGCAAGTGGCAAGTAATGGATGTGTGCTTAAGTATTTAGAAGGAGGCAAGTACAAGCTCAGTAATGGCGGTAACCCGGTGTCGCCAACGCAACTGCCAGTCGACTAAACAAGCGAGCAAGTCGCACTTAAGAAAATAAATACTAAGTTTAAGCGGAAATTACCTCTGCAGACTGGTTTAAGACGATGTCTTGGGGTTGTTCAACTAGTGCCCGTTATGTGTTGTAGTGTGAGGTGAAGTTAACATATTTGTTTGACTTTTGGTTAAACAAAAAATTGGGTCATATAGAGACAAATAGAGACGAATTTTATCGGGTTCTATTGTGGAGAAATCTACAATCATAAGAAAATAAATAAGGTTATAAAGATCATTTAACAGAAATATTGCAAAAAAAAAATTATTTGACACCTTGTTTTATAAATCCATTTTTCGCAAAACAGAGTTAATATTAATATAATATTTAATATTTTTTACAGTGTCAAGATCAGTTCTTAGGTTGATCGGACCCATATTTTATGATCGATAAAATTGTAGTGCGGTTCAGGGACACAGCAGTAAAAGATCTGTTAAACGCACTTTGTCTGCGACCTTTCGGTTTGCGGTTTAACGTCTTCCCCTCGCCTCTTGGCTACCAATGCTGACGGTTCAAGCTTAAGTTTCGCAAAATCAAATCATATCTGGAGCTCCTTTTATTCCATTCTTTTGAAGAGGTAGGTAGCACGGCATTTTTCCGCGTAGTTGGTTTTCGTTGGGTTATTGACTCTTGAACTAGGTAATTTTATAGCGGCTTTTCTACTGGCAGCTCCACTTTTGGTATCTCTTTTTCTCACTTCGTCGGAGCCATACTCTGCTTGATTTCGGCTGATAATAAGTTTTTGGTTAATACTGGTGTTGCTGTCCTCCTGGGGTTAGGCTTAGCGTCAGCTTCAGGGTTGGTGACAGCCCTTGTACCTAGACCACGTTTAACTTCTGCCTTTGTGCCAGCTTGAACTACTTTCGAGATCGTTAAGAACGCAGCTCTCTTCTAGAAACTACTAGTACACACTTTTTCAAGCAAATGTGGACTCCTTTTGTTCTTTATTATTATTTTTTCTCCAAAATGGTGAGTTTGAAATTTGAAGCAGAAAAAGTTTTGTCACCGTCAGACATTTTTTTGGGAGAGATTGGCTACCGGATCAAGGGCTTCCAAAATACTTGAAAAATAATCGTCGGTTATTTGTTTACATTAAATTCCGGTTATAAGCTCTTTGTTTAGCTAGTGCTCATTGTACCCTCAAAATTTTGTTAATAGTTGTCTATGATTTAGACAGAAGCTGAACTTTATAAGTTTTTGGAATCTAATTAAATTTTACCTTAGTAAGTAAGAAGGTGAGGTAAGAAAAAAAGTTAAGCTCGATGTTTGTAGACGCAAGCTCCTCAACAAACAAATCATAAAATTTTCTTCAGTGAATAAACTCATTCAATACTTTCTTAAATTTAAGACAGTGCCTCTAATTGGTATTTTGTGTAAAACATAACCTAAAATTCTACCTCAAATACAACAATTCTTACTACTACCCCCAAGTAAGGTCATTTTTCGCAAACATTGCATGTGAATGACGTAGAGGGGTTTATACTATATAACTACACGATACTAATACGATACATATAGACCCGCTTTGTGCCCATGTGGACCTTAGATGGCTGTCAGGCTCGCTGCGCTGCTTTGTGCTCAGCACTAAGCGAGTAGGAGCAGCAGCTGACACATGTAATAATTCAATTGTGCGAACGACTATTAAATAAGATTGATGACAAGCATGAAGCACTCAATGGCAGCGCTGCCTTACAACTGGCTGACGCTGCCGCAATGACTGGCGCGCATGTTTAGTATGGGATAACGGTGCAGCTATTCAATAATATTATGTGAAGCATGTATGTATATATGCTTGGCGCTATTAAAGGTACTCAAACTTGCAGTTGTGGGCCCCTAATATTCCGTTTTGACGTGCTTATGTGTGCGAGTATGTGCTGTTCCCATCATTCTTCACTGGCAGTCACTGTGTCGCCTGGCGTTTCATAGACTTGCTAACTGCTACTTTCGATTTCTCATGCGGGTGTATATATTTGTAAGTGTGGTGTTGTGTATGTGTTTTTACGAAGAAGTATTTATGTCTATTGCCGTCTCTAAAGCTGCCAGAAGGCAAGTCGCTGCTGGAGCTTTGCCTCGTTTTGAGTTGTATAGTTATATGTTTGTTAACTAGTGTATTAGGGTGGTTTATATGTTTGCTATGACAAATATTTACTTTAAAAAAATATGGAAATATCTTTATATAAATATTGAATAGAGTAATATATTAAAATAGGTATCAATTTCGCTGTTGAGCAAATTAAATTTTTTTTGAAATTTTTAAAAATTAAAAATACTTATAGTTTTATTAATTAGTATGTTTGCAAATTTGAATTAAGTTTTCCAAAGTTTGTTTAATTTTTCCCTCCAAGATAATATATTAAAACTTCTGCGTGCAAAACGAGCCACCCTAACGCTAGCAAATCGTTAATATTCGGCAGTCTTCAGCTTGCGTTTGTCTTAAATGTCAAATAAATTTTATGTCCAATGAAAAATGATTTGACATTTGGCGATTAATACAATACAAACAAACACAAAAACAACAACAACAAAAAACACTTACAACACTGCAACTGTCGCCGTTGTGCTCACTCGTGCGCTGGTGTATTTAATGTCGTGTCGCCACGGCGTATACGTGCCCAGCAGACGCTAGGCAAACATTCACCAATACCAACACACAAATAATCGCCGAAACAGTCCGCTAAGTCGCCGCCAAGCATGTAGCGGCGTGCGTACAAGTTTTAATGTCGCATTGGCTTGGTGTGAAAAGCAATTAGCAGGTTGTTAAGCGCTGAAATAGGTTTTAATTTACATTTACATTATCTGTCTGTCACCGGAGATTTCTACAAATTATGACGCACTTTGCGATAGTTAGACAGGCCATAATTATTTACACTGCCCGCAGATGAGGGAGAGTGAGACGTGTCTCGTGGCATAGATTATTTTTTAATGAGTGTAAGCTACGTGTGTGCGCCTTTGTGTGTGCTGAGGCACATAAGTCTTTAAAAGCTTTTAATTTGGCTCACTTTGTAAGGAATAAAAACTGTTTCAGTCGCGCCTGAATGTTTTGAAGATTTGCGGTAAAGTAAATAAATGTATGGCAAGCATAGCAACAAACTGAATCACGCGCAAAGTGAGGCTGCTGTGAAGTAGGGTACGTTATGTAAAAATTAATGAATCTAGGGTCTGGGATATGATCAAACTGAGAAAGTAATATTTTTTATGGTGTATATTGTTATCGTTTCTGGGGGCAAAATATTTATTTCTTTCAATTTCAAATGGTTTATAATTACTTTTATCACCTTCAAGGTTAGGATTGAAAAAAAATTTCAAAATACATTTTTTGTTCCTTATATATGGAATAGAGAGGTATTGAAAAAGAACGAAGTGTGAAATCGTGCATCGTACTCATCTTTAGGTGATTTTAAACGAAATTCATTGATATTGGATATCGAAATGGAAAAACCTTGAAAAGTGAAAATATGTATGAAATAATATGAAATATATGAATTAAATCAGATATATAAATAGGGATTTCAATGGACTGTTGATGTGTGCCAGAAGGGGATTTTTCAGGTTCGATCACAGGAAGCCATGGCGAACCGGTCACTCCCGACTGGTGTTTGACCAACAACTCAGTCACATTTATGAAACCAATATGTATATTAAAATGTGACGGCGAATTCGGGCCTTTTGCTATGGGTTGACGTGTTTCATACCCAAGCCAAGTAACCAAAATAGTAACCAAAACAGTAACTAAAACACTAACCAAAAAATTAACCAAAACTTAACCAAAGCATTAATCAGAAGGAGGCATATTTTTGATGACTTCATAACCTTCCCTGAGTGCTTTGTGCAACTCAACCCAAATCGAGTCAAACTGACACTGCTGGTATTTTAGAGAAATCAATCTAAAATTTGTATACATAAAATGACATTTTGACTTTGTTTTAATCTTAAAATCCAAAAAATTTTTTTTTTAATTTTTATTCCAGACATTATATATTTTTTATGAGGAAAACACGCTATTTGAAAAGTCGTATTTTAATTATTTAAATTTTCTCAGATTTCAGGTGACGTGCCATGGATCTTTTTTGAATTCCTGGGTGAGTTGTGTATTTATCTAGATCATGCAGAATGAAAAATACAATTAGAAGACAAAAAATCCTAAACATCTATATTTTAGCGAGACTGCAATAAAATAGTAAAAGTTTAAAAATTTGTTTTAGATTTAATGTTGCCGGTGTCCGTCAATATTAATATAAGTATAAAAAACTGCTTCGGTTAACGCCTCTTTAAAACTTTCAGTGCAATCACCGCTAAATTCATGCCTAAAAAGTGTCATATGAGTACCTAATATTTTAGAAGGAAAACCAAAACAAGAAAATTTTAGAAAAGTATTTGCATTGAAAGCTTTTTGGCATGTGAGTTTTAGTTTCGCGATTTTTTTGAGCTTTCATATTTCCATTAAAGCTTTCGCCACAACTGTTGATGAAACTTTACTGTGTGACCAATTTTTAAATAAATATATAAAAGCTTTTTGGTGTCTGGGCTTTCAATTTGCGTATAGAGCTTTCATTTAAACTTTTGGTGAAAGCTTACCATGCGTATAATTGTTGAAATGACACTTAAATGAATATATTAAATTATTAAAGCGAGCTTTCATGTTCGTTATGTTACTTAAATATTTGCGTGTCATTTGACTATATCATTCGTTAAGGTAGAACTTAAGAAAATAAAATAAGTGTTTTCTCATAGCTGGTGGCAGAGGAGCATATCAGCATTACAATAACGAAATCGCGACAAAAATTGAAACTTGAAGCATTCAAGTATTTGAGTTTTACACGGTGTCATACTCATTACACTAACACTTTATCGCTATCAACTAATCCACACTGTAATCCATAGTCCAGTATATATATATTTCCCAGCCAGCGCAACACGTAGGAATGATAAGATAAGAAGCGATTGAAATTTGCAAAAGAGACAAATATAATATAGATACATACACATATAAAAACATATTATGTATTGAAGGTTAATGTGTCACACTTAACGACAAAGTGTACGTAGATCACTCATACGCCCCAGTGAATCCATTGATAGCATGAAAGTGAGCGCCATAAAATAATGGCGATAAAAAATGTATACAAAAAAATAGCAAAGCGCACAACTTGAGAGACTTGCAAGCAGCGGGTGAGATAATTCGCGTAAATTAGCAGGGTGGGGCGGCAAGTGGTAGATTAAGATTGACAAGGGGTCGCTGATGTGAGCGATGGGCTTATTACGGTCGTGCGAGCATAACATTGTCATGTAGGAAATTTATTCAATTGGCATTAGGGCGCTATGGTCGACATTTATCATGTCTTATTGTTCGTAGTTGTAATTGAAAATGCTTTGTATGTGTGTGTGTGTGAGGTGTGGCACATATACGATATGGATTTTATTGGCATGCAGACACCTCAGCTGCAAGTTACAGCTACAAGTTCATCGTGCCAACTATTATTAGCTTAAGTTTTGTTATTGGTGTAGTGTTATTGTTTCTGTCACTCAAACTTGGACAATCCCTTCAACGAGAGCTTAAAGCGCCTGCCTAACACACATATACTATAAATACAAATGGCGACAGCGGGAAGTCGGTCGGCATATGCACATAAATGTTTGTATTTGCACGCACAACAACTACAACTTCGGATAAACACCACGCTTAGCTGCTCGACAAGCTATCTAAGCCACTGCAGCCCCAAGCAATGCCACGTCGTGTTGCTATTGCTTATATGATAACGGCACTTTTGTTTGTTTTTGTTATTGCTAAAGCTGCTGCAGCACCAACACTGCTTGTCGGCCACTTAATCCGAAGCGTGTTTTATCTATTTGTGGCAACTAAACACACACACACACACACACACACACACGCACATCCTGCCACCGCTGAGTGGACATTGGCTGTCAACGCAGCACACCAGTGGATACGGTGCCATGTGCTGACCATTTCCCGTTGCAAGGGAATATCCGAGTCACGCAGCGTGGCTGCTTTGGCCACCTAATCGCGCTGTGGCCGCTTGTGCACTTTTGAGACTCACGCGAACACTTTCCATCCGTTTAAGTGCGATTTCTTTAAAATGATGAATGACAGTTGGCAGTTGGTGTGAAATGAAGACAACAAAAATAAACACATACACACGCTTATATGGTATCGTGTCTTGGGTGTTGAGAGGATTGGTTGTGTGTATCGAGAACAAACAGGAGGATATGTATACATATGTGTGTGGTTAAGTGCATGTGCGCCGTTATGTGCACTAAAATGACGTTTAATACCGCTATAATCCCACAACAACAACGCTGTCAATTTGAAGTTATGAGCTGCCGCATTCTCTGCTCACTTTAGGGGCAACCCTATTGCGGTATCTTATATGAGCTGACGCTACATGCACATTAGGGTGGAAACAAAAATCAAATATTTTTTCGCTTAGTACTTTGAAAAATAAGCACTCAGGCACCTCTAAAATTAATAAATTACCAACAAAACTATGAGTTTTCCGATTTCTAATATTTTTATTAATTTTTTATTTTTTTTTTCAATAGACATCAATTGTGAGTAGTTTTATTTGGTTAGATTTTAATTTAATATCTTTTTTATTGGTTAGGTTTACGAATAGATCCGTTTTAGTAGATCATTTAATTTTCTAGAAAATATACGAAAAGAAATATCTTTCCAATTAGTTGGAAACTTGTTTTGAATTTTTTATCTGGTAATACTAAGAAAAATATAAAACTGTAAGGCCTGCCCGTTAAAATTAAAAGCGCATACTTGGAGCGAATTTCTTAGAACTGTCTAAGAACGCACTTTTCCTAATACGAAGCGGTAAACATCGACTATTTTTCTGACTCACCCTAATACACACACATAAATACGATTGACCCTTTAGAAAGAATACCAGTATGTGTTGGCTTTGATGGATGGATAAAAGCGCTTACATGCTTTACTGCTGGCAGCGTTTATCTCCTCAAGTTTTGTTTGAAGCTGTCGTTCGTTGTGGAACTTAAGCGCATTTGAGTTTAATGAATGAAGCCAATAAAATAAATACATGTCGGATATGTGCAGAAAATGAAAGAAAGATGCTTAAAAATTAAATGCAGCTTATTCGTTTGAAGCTATGGGGGAGCGAGTGGGGTTTAAAAATCCGGTTTTAAAAATTTGTTGAATTAATGTTACTACAATATGTTGCAGATTGTAGTAAAGTTGTTTTGCGAAATGTAATTTTTTAATACTGAATATACTCGAATAATCGGTGATTCATTTTAAAGTAATTAGATGCCCATGATCCTATAGCGCTACTCCAGGAGGACCTCAGAAAAAGGAAGTCTGTCGGGGAGAACAATTTTTGTGCTTAAAAAAATAATAATATTTTAATATAGTTAATAGATGAATACAGGTAATGATAGAAATTTGATTTTTGACAAAAAGTCGGCTGTGTGTTTTTTTAAGAAAATTTACATTTCACTATAAATCTAAATTATTATCGAAAGCTTTATACTTGAATCAGTGTCTAACGAACAAATTTAGAAGGTAGTATATACCTTCAGGTCGATCGCTCAAGAAGTTGTGGAAAACTTTTCCTGATCAACATTGACCAAAGCAAGTTTCAAGGCGTATAGTTTTTTTAGAGTTGCCATATTTGATTTTTCCTCAAAATTTATACACAACTTGAAAATTTTGATTTGTATTAACTTAATAGGAGAAAAGTTAATACAAATCAAAATTTTCCGTAGGTAGATAGGTAGATAGATACGTGACTGTTTAGGAACTATAATCTTCTCATACTACTCTCTCTCTACTCTCTATGCCAGTCCTTGCTTTTGATGAAGTTCGTCGGCACGAAAAGTTTTATATCTGCAATCGCTGAAGTATCGTCCAGACGCCTTTGACTGATATGTTAGATTATTTCCTGGTATATAGCTTTGTATTCGCAGAGAAGATGTTTTACAGTCTCCTATCCTTCTACCTACCCACAGCTTCCACAATATTCATTATATCTAGCAATTGGATAATGTTGTTTCTCTTAAATTTGATTAGTGGACGAGTGCAGCTTATATTCTCTTTATGCCACGTTTTGCCTATATGTAGAGCAAGTTAGATATTGATTCCACCGAGACTCAGCTATATTAATAACATGCTTGTCGATACGAAATGCCTACAAGTACCCAGAGGCTAAAAGATTGTAGTCATTTAAATCTATTTCTTGTTGAGATCATACGCTTAAACAAGAAAGTTTACTTAATGTTATGTGACCTTCGCTTGTGAGGCACTGCAGGGGTCTGGTAGGCAGAAGGTGATTTTAATATTTAATTTTGCCGAAAAGGCACTACCCACTCGATTATCTAGTTTGTACCTGCTTATTCCTGCGTTCCTATCCACCTCGCCCATTTTCCACCTTTCTTTGGAAGGAACTGCAATATTGGGGAAGGATTATTCCAGTCTAAGAGCTGACTTCGCTGCTAGTTGCTTACAGAACAAGTCTGTTGCCAGTGTAAAAATGAAATGACGGTAGGTGCATGACATTGCATGGCATTGCTTTTCTCTTTGTCCCTTGTTTGATATCCATATGCCTTTCAAAATATTCCTTTTCTATAAACAATATTTTGACAAAAAAAGTACCAGAAAACTGTAAATAAAACGTATAATGTTTATTTATTAACCAATATGTATTTTGTTGCCATCAAAGTAGTCAGCACAAGATGTAATGCCTGTTTGTAAATGATTTTTCCAGGATCGAGACACTTTTCATAAGTACGTTTTGGGATGGCCTCAGCTCTTTCAGCGTACTTTGTTTTATCTCTTCGATCGATTGAATCTGGTGAATCTGGTGTGAGTTGGAGTAATCAAGTGAGCACCTTGCTTGATCGATGGTATTTCTAGCGTGGTCACAGTCGTTAAAAAAAAAAAAAAAAAAAAAAAAATTATCGGGACAAGTGCGATGGGTTTCACCCGAAATGTGCATCAAAATCATTCGAACAGACTCGCGAGGGTTGTCGAGCCATCTTGTCATATCATTTATACTTGCCGACGATTTCAAGTACCATATCCGTCAGGGCTTTAGTCTTT